ATTACTCACTGTCTACACACACACATTATCACGTCACGTTGTCACCCTCTTATATATACCTGACTACCCTATATCTAGTAATCTCCCGACAATTCCCGAAGGTTCGAGAGAACGAGTCACGTGACCTCGCTGACGCAACAATATTTTCACTGTGCAGATAGCAAATTCGGTACAAAGCTCCTGAAGATAGCTGTACCAATTCGCTTTGAGTACTATGTATGTATATATATATATATGTGTGTGTATGTGTAAAAGCAAACAAGTCTGTGAAGAAGTAACCCCGAAAAAAATTAGAATGCTAATTCGATTTTATCATTTAGGCAATGTACGAAGAAGAAAATACGCAACATGACCTTGTAAAAACCCCTAAGGGACAGAGTAAAAATGAATATAGGTGCAGTGTGGAAGAGGCACAACATTCTTTTTGCTTGAATCTTGGCAGGCAAAATAAGAAAGTACAATATGATACTGTGAAATAGCTGAATGTGCATCACCTTTCAGTGACATCTGTTTCTTCGAAGAAATGACTGGATATTTTGGTTTCAGTGATGAAGATGAAAATCCATTTGCAAAACATCCACGCTACAATAAAAAGATGTGCTTTCATACTCGGGTATTATCACCATACTAGGTTACATGGGCGGACAATTGCCCAGTGGGGTCACTGCATTTATCGAATTCTTAGAAATGAATTTTAAATTATAATTTTTTAGCCAGTATGTAACATGTGATATTACCCAGGGTGATCCTTTAATGGTAATTCACACCTGCTAGGTTGTGATCAAGCGAAAAATGGGTTGATATACCACCACCCAACCAAACTATATGAGGTTTATCAGTGTCACAGACCTACATTCTGTTTAATGTTAAGAACTGGAGACTTTTCCTGTACGCTTTAATGTTAAAAATCTTCACTTTTATATAGTACAGCGGAGTTACCACTACTGTTTGAATAAGGGGTTTTAATGATAGTTTTGGGGTTTGAAAGATATGAGCTATCATTCCTTCGTTTCTATATTTTGATGCATTGTTGATATTCCAAGCATGTCGTTACGCAGAAAACAACCTTTAAAGCTGCAGCACAATTACTTTTACCAACTGTGCAAAAAAGAAAGAGTTTTAAAGATACGAGCTGTCATTCTCTTTTTTCCATTATTTGCAATTGGCAGTTCTTTTTCTGTCATTTGTTTTTGATGATAACTAATTTTTATAAAGAACGTGAAACACTGGTCTACACCTAGAGCAGAACATGTTATAACATTTTGAAATGTAGTTGAGTATATATATAATCTTGATGCGTCAAGTTTAATTTGTTTATTCTACTCGTTTGACATTCCCCACTCTTAATAGAATAAATTAATCAACTCTCAACTGGTTTTTGTCTTGCTTAAACTACATGCGACATTAAACTCAAAATTTTGTAGTTCTGTTAGTTTTAAGAACTAAAATTTTGAGATTTGAAAATTTTACAATGAAACATTTATTCTCGATAAATAATATAAAAACCACCTTCGTATTTCATTCTTAAATTCTACATAGATATATTTGACTGATTTAACAAGAGGCGTTTAGCCCCAGAATAATATGCATGCATTGACTGCCATCATATTAATCTATCATAAAGACTTTTCAAAACTTGTTCTACAGAAATAGGTAGAGGTATTCTGCAGATGTGCATTTACCGAATTTATCTAACTTTAAATGGCATTAACGTATTCAAAAATGAAAGGATACTGTTATTTTGGAATTCATGGTACTGACAAAATGTCCAATACAAACAATCTTTTACTACTTTTAATTGCCATTGCATCATCTGTTTTCTTTGCAAGTATCTCTGAATTAAATCAAAGTGCATATACATTTCATTTCCAAGTTACATGAAGAAATCTAGCTATCGTAAAATAATTCTTTTCACTATATCAAAACTTGACATATTATTTCTCAATCAGACTACATACATCACATATTTCTCTAAGACCTAAAATCGCTACAATCCGCATTATACCAGCTATCCTAGAAACTGTAGTTATTAACATGGTTTAGTTTCTATGACATATCCATACTTTCGTGTTCGTATCAGGAACTTATGCTTCAAATACATTAAATTTGTGAAACTTGTGTTTTACGAGTTAATCTTATTTATCGTTTACTTTATCAGATTTAAATTTCTTTAACTTATCAAACTTATATACATATCTCCCCACATTTGTTTTCAGGCATAGTATTAAACAGGGGTGAAATTATGCCGGCACTCATTGGTATTGAATACCGGAACTTATTTCAACTGCTTTGTCGTTTTTTATGTTTACACGTAGATTTTGATTGTCTTTTTCAAAAACAGGTCCACTTCACCCAGCTAAGTATCTCTACTTTTTTCTTTTTTTTGAGAATTTCATCCCTGTTAGTGGTATTAACGATCTTGAGAACAACGTACACTTGGATTTGAAATTTGTGTATTTTGCATCAATTTTCATAAGTAAAATGTGTTTATAAATACTACTAAATGATTTAGAAAAAGAACAAAACGTGTGGCCGTCAGTTATTACAAGTTAATCTGAAGTAGGTACACACCATATACAATAATGAGATAGTTTGCATAGAAACTATTATATATGCAATTGAAACATCACACATATATATATATACTTACTACAGATGGCATAATTCTTTCGCCTCTAAGCACTGTCTGTACTTTACACTTCACGTGGCTTGTATGTTAGCTGATTTCCACTGTTGCTAGATGTAGCGTCTTTGGGGGAAATTTAAACACTGTTTTTTAATTGTTACTATTTTTATCCTGAACAGGGTTATAAATTTCAACTAACTTCATAAACAGATATTTTTAACTTAATTTTCAAAACGTAGGTATGAAGCCAGTATTGGCAGCCTTCCAAGCAAGAGAGAAAGTATTGATTTTTTCGCGCATCCATGAACAATGAAGTTTCGAGATGCTCCCAGCAATGTTTTAAATCATGTCTGCGTCAGTTCCGTAATATAAATAAACAGTTGGAGGAGTTACCAATCACAACGTACGGATCAAACAAGGTGGGGTTTTATAGAAGCCACGTGCATGTACATACTGTACTTTTGACAGATGGCGTTTGAACCACGAATGCTTTCATGTAGGTACATGCACCGCGCCATCTATTCGCCAAATAATTAAAGAACCCATTATCATGTTGCACAAAGCTAGTTTTCTCTTTTTCCTTTCGCGATAAAGCATTTACAGCGGGGATGTATTCACCAGATACGATGTTGGCTCAGTTACGCTATCAGTTAGAGATTTGATATTCTATCGGTTTTATAAATCATAAATTCTATTCTAAATAACCAAAACATGTCACATATAAAAAAGTGGTCAAAGGATCCACAACATGGTGAAATTTCAAGAGAAAATCGATAAATGTAAAAAAAAATATTTAAGTTGCAATACTATTGATAAAAAAAAGAACAAATTTGTTACCATACATAATCATGGCCTAATTTAACGACATTTTCCCAAACCGCTCATTCAAAACAAAAAGCATTGTATTTTTTGTCTGCGTTTATTTTTAAGCACAAGGCCATACAATGATCTGTCTGGGTTTCGCCCACCGTGGGTATTGAAACTCGATTTTTTAACGTTACAGGTTCATACCTTTCCGCAGAGCCACAGAAATAGGAAGAGGAGAGTCTTGTGATGACTAAGTAAGTTTTAGGACTTTTAATACTAAAACTCGGGGTTCGGTCCCTGCGGTGGACACAACACAGATAGCCCATGGTGTAGATATGTTATTAACAACAAACAAACAAAACTTTTTTGTAAAGTTACAAAAATTTTGAAATTATTTTAGATTTTTAGTAGCGTTTTGAAATAAATGTTACTAGTATCACTAAATTCAAAAAGAGAACCACTCTAAATTAGGTGGTGCTTATTATTATTATTATAGTCTAAAAGAAATATTTAAGCAACACTATTGACAGTCCTTGGCCTTTGACGTCAGCACGCACAGTTATGTTTTTATAACTTACCTGCATATGTTCGACTGGAGTATTTTTGAGTAGCTTAAATGTACTGTTGCGTCAGCAGTCACATGACTACAGTGACGCAACGTTTCTAGAACTATCATGTACTTTGGCGAATGTTCAAGTTCTTACTAGAAATAGGGTACGCTGGTATATAAAAGAGGGGAATGTAATGTGTCGCGAGATAGTGAGTAATTGAACTGCAGTCACACGGTATTGTTGAAGTTAACGTTCGTTCGTTACAGTGTTGTTTTAGCGCGAGTATTGAGATTAAGTGTATCGCAGAGTTATATTCGGAAAGAATAAACCAGTTTTATTAAGTAAAGACTTGTGTCGTTAAAGTTTCGTTGGAACAAAGTTACGGAAAGTTAATTAACAAACGGAGACGTAACAGTACCTAATATTGACAATTACCACTCAATGTAGTAGAAATTACCAAACAAAGATAAATTTGTATAAACTTGATGAAAAGAAAAGACAGCTCAACCAAAATAATTTACACAATCTTCATCAAGGTTAAAATGTTACAGTTTAACGCCGAAAGCTGTCGAAATATTGGAAAACCAACTGACCTAATAATTGTTATCAACAAGTTACTTACAGATGTTTTGTTTTTCTACATTCCTCTTAATTTAGCCATTGCTATCAGACTTCTGATAGACAAATCATGTGGGAAAAAAACAACACCTGCAAGTAACTTGTTTTTATAACAAGAGTACTGAATATTTGAAAATACTAACAGCTATTAATTTTTTTATCAGAACCATGCAGCATTCAGAAAGCCTTATCACAACACAATAGTATTTAAACCGATTGAAAATTAAGGTAATGTTGGCAATTTGGCTAGTAATCAGGTAATTTTCAGAATTTGAGCTTTGTGCCCATAAAGACTTTACACTGCAAACTACTTTTGTCAAAAGCAGACAAAATATGTAACATTCTTTTATGACTCATAATTTTAAGACTACTTACCTATGTTTAGATAATGTGGAAATGATGAAGACAAATGTGGTATAAATTTGCAGTTTTAATTTAGTTTTAAATGACATCGGCCACAAAAAAAAAAAGTTATTTTGTTCTGTTAATTCGATGTCATAAAAGAATAATACTATTTATACACTCTTTATTATTACAGCGTTCTTAAAATAGGGCTGTATTGATCAATTTTTATTTCATTTTACGGTTTGGTTTATTGTGAATTTCGCGCAAAGCTACACAAGGGATATCTTTGCTAACCGTCTCTAATTTAGCAGTGAAAGACTAAACAGAAAGCAGCATCTCCAACTCTTGGACTACTCTTTACCAACGAATAGCTGTATTGACCGTCACATTATAATGTCCCGACGGCTGAGAGGGCGAGCATGTTTGGTGGGACAGGGATTCGAACTCGCGACCCGCAGATTGCGAGTCGAGCACCCAAACCACAAGGCCTTATTTTACGTAAATGAGCATATTTTCACAAGACTTAATGAGGATTTGCCCGAATGACTGTGTGAAGTCACAGTTGTGAGATAAAACAACGAAGCCATTAGACTGAACCCGTGTCTAAGATGCTATACATAATAATGTTTACCATAATTCTGAATATTCTATGTGTATCTTCACGAAATTTTGCGGTTTATTAGCAAATATTACAAGTCTAAACATAAAATCGGGCTTTTTAATAAAATATTGTCATTAAAGTTTTGTCTGTGAATTTCCGAAGCATTTATTGAGTCAGCCTGAATGAAAAGTAATTTTCATGCTGAGAATAAAAATGCTTATTTTCCCCTTACAGTTTTCATATTTCATTTGCGCGACCTCTAGGACCTTCTAAATTAGCATAATTTTTTCGGTAAAACTTTATATATCTTTTATCTCTTATTTTCTATACCCAAACATCAACTCTAACGAAATAATCAATGTACTGTAGCCCCTGGGCCCCCCTGTGGCACAGTGGTATGTCTGCAGACTTACAACGCTAGAATCTGGGTTTTGATACCCGCGGTGGGCAGAGCACAGATAGCCCATTGTGTAGCTTTGTGCTTAATTACAAACAAACAAACTGTAGCCCCCGGTGGCTCAGTGATAAGCCAGTGGGTTTATACCCCTAAAAACTAGGTTTCGATATTAGACGTGGTCTGAGCACAGCTAGCCCATTGGTGGTATTGTGCTTTACAACAAACGAATAAAGAAATAATGTACAGTGAATTGAAAAATATGAAATAAAATTAATTAAATAGGTGTGCAATTTGACGAATTTTTGAGCAACAGATTGCGTACCCAGCTCTGCCTTTGGTGAAAGTCCGATGTTGGATATACAAGACTGTTTAGTGTAAGTGTTATTATTTAGTTTAGTTGGTGATTTAATATTTAATTTAATTTTCATAACAAGAGAGTTAAAAGTAATTATTCTAAAGGCGATAGTTATGACAAGTTTGGTAGCGTAACTATGTACTTACGTTGTGTTTGCAATCACACTGTTGTTTAGGCTTTACTAATATTTTTGACGTCACGTTACTCGAATCTTCCGTATTTTTCTCGTTACCTTAACTGAGTACTGTTGAATAATCGCGTCGCATAGTTTAGAGAAAGTTCGAGGCCGCAGTGAATCACATATAAATGTAGGCGACCAAGCGAGCGAGCGCAAGTCAAGTGCAGCTCAGTCAGAAAATTAGTGAGCGAAAGGAACTGTGAAGTTAGCCCGCGTGTGAGTGATTAGCCATAACGGGTGATATTTTATAGTGAGTTTCACAGTTTAATAGAAATAAGGAGAATAAGTTGTCTTGTCAAAGAATGTTCTAAGGTAATTGAACCCGTCTGTGTGGACTTTGACGAAAAGGGGACAATGATTAGAAGTTCAGGGGTACAACTGTGGTAACCCACCAGGTAGCATAAGTGAATTATTCACTGATACTCTATTTAGTAGACAGATAATAAAATTGCTTATACACGTGCGGAGACTGTAAGGCCTCCTATATTGGTGAAACCAAACGTCACCTTTAAGTGCGAGCATGGGAATGTCTATAAAAACTGGAAGAAAGGTTACAAACCCTCCCAACCCCGCTATCTATAAACAAAATACAGAAACAGGACATCCAATTTCTCTCTCAAACTTTGAAATTATTTCAACAGCCAAACATGATACTGAACTTCTTATAAAAGAAACATTATACATAAAAACTATCCTTCCT